AGTTTTTTTGTCCTGATTGCCAGTTCCCAAATAACAGACAGCCACTTCCTAAATAACTGACTTGGGGACTTAATACAAATTATAAATGCTCCACCAATAGCTCAGGCGTGTTACTAACTAACTTTTACAACTTCACCCATTTCTATTAATGTATGTGCTACCCTGAGGCCCATGGCTTTTTACCTCTGTCCCATTTTGTATTCAACTCATTCTCCTGGAGACTCCTCTGATTCCACCCTTCCTCATTCCATCATTATCAGGTCAGCTTTACCACCTCTCTTTATCTTGTTAAGATATTAGTCAGTCAGTTTGTTTATTGAACCAATCATACTGACATATCTTCACAGTGTATAAAACGATTATAGCACATCACTCTTCACACTGCATAGGTGTCTTCCAACTCTGCACAAATGCCTCCTCACTCTGCACAGGTGTGCTCCTTACCCTTCTGAATACCCAGTTCCTCCATTAGGACCCTCTCCTCTCCTATTTCCAGTTTTGACTCCCCACCAGAAGTGACCTAGTGAGTTGATACTCTCCTCAACATGCTGGAGCACAGACTCCCTACAAGTGACCATTTTATAGCATAGCTTCCCCCTCACCTCTCAGGCTCTGAGGTCTCACACCAGACTGCTGCTTGTAGACTCTCTCTTGAATCCAGACACTTTCTCACCAGCATGCTGACATTCCCCTCACTGCTTGGGCTCCAGTTCTGCTGTCAGGCCAGCCCTCAGCACGGTCACCCAGACCCAGGTTCAGATCATTGCTTCCCCACACCTGACCCTTCCACAGATACCTGCCTTGCCCTCCCTACACCATTCTTTATTCATTAAGTTACTAAGTAATGAGGTACTCCAAGGAAAGAAACAAGATATGACAGAAAATGAACTCCTGTGTAATTATTAAACCAATTGACTATTTCCATGGTGATAAATATACCAACACACCACTTCACTCCAGTCACAGATGTGTTCAGGAGTTTTACCTTCTCAGCAAAATATATTTCTAAAGCTATCATATCCCACATACACTAGAATAAACCATGCACAATATTCAAGTGGCTTAAACAACAAATATTTCTCATTTGTGTATGTCCTAAGGGTTTGGCTATGGGTCACTGATATGTTGGTCAACATCTTCATACATATATCGATTTGGGGCCAGAATCATAGAGAATCACAGCTTCTTTTAAGTTGAATGTGTAGTATTCTCCTGTATTTAGATAATCAGATTTATTCTCATCCTATGGGCCAGTGAAAGTGACCTGGACAAATCAGTCAATTAGGGTTGACAACATACTCTATATAAAGGAAGATGGGTCAAAGGCTTTAAAGCAGCCCTTTTACAGAGGAGTATGAAAGTACTTGGGAAACAGCACAGCATCTACACCTAATCCCTTTACTATTTACTCAGGAGATATATGTTATTGAGTTTTAAAATGGAGCATTAGTCCCAGTGATAGAAAAGAAGATACCATTGCAACACAGGCAGAAAATACCAAAAACTTGCCAGGAGATGACTCAGCGATTAAGAGCACTGACTGTTCTTCCAAATGTCCTGAGTTCAATTCTCAGTGACCACATGGTGGTCTCTACTGGCAGAAAGCCACACATGCAGATAGAGCTCTTATACACATAAAATTAATAAATAAAATATTCAAAAGTGTGCTTTATTTATCTCTGGTATTGAACTAAATTAGTGTCATATGGGTTGAATGTTGGGTGTCTGTCAAGTAGTTTCTCTGGACTTTTACCCAGTTCATAGGCGGTTACCTCTCTAATTCTTTGGGATCCCTGAAGCTATTGGGAAGTCTGTTTTATCATGGCAGGCCATGATGCTTTATGCTGCTCAGTTTTCTCATAGTTCATGCTAACAAGACAATTTTTGTTGGGAACTCACCATTTCAGAAACACTGACCATGTTATTAAAGTGTGGAACCTTTGAGCCATGAGATGCTCACCCTGGCAGGGAAGTGATGTAGAAGACAGAGTTCACTCTCTTATCAAACAAACACTCACACCTATATAATGAACCCTGGTAAATCTCTGAACATCAGAGCTCAGATGAGTGCCCCCTGATTGTCTTATTCTGTATAATGCCAATCATTAACATTCTGGAAAATGATGCACATGTGGGGTCAATGGAAGTTAACTATTTAGGACCCTCCCTGACCTCATCTGGTATGTCCCTCCCATTTCTGCTGTGTATCTTTCTACATAACAAATCTATAATCCTAATAGAGCAGAATAATTACTTCAGTGTGTCATCCTGAAACTTATAAATCTGAAGTTATCATGGGATCCTGGGAGACGGCAGACAGATGACTTGAAGTAATGGCATCCTTGGGAACTCCTGAACTTGAAGCTTGAGTCTGAAATGAGGGAAGTCTCGTCAAGGCATGGCCTGAACTTGTAGAACAATTTAATTCATAATGAAAGGTTTGCAGCTATAGATAACCAGAACAGCCATAAGAAACATTTTGAGAATGGCTGAGGAAATACAGGCAATGTGACGTACCATATCAGAAAAGAGATGTTAAGTATTTTCTAAGAGTGATAATGGTATAGTTTTTTGTGCAATGACAATTTCAGATTATATATACTGAAATATTGACTTTAGTCTTATGTATCAAACTAACTCTCAAATGCCCTATCAAATAACATGTGCATATGTATGCATATACACACATATATATCAAATTATCAAATAGTCAACAATCATCACTATAGATGGTAGTTATATGAGTATTGATATTACCAAAGTCAACTTCTGTCTCAAAATATTTGTGACAAGAAGTTGAAAAGGCTTCTAAAGTGTTAATCAGCATACAGGCTCCATGGGATATGTGAGTCTCTTCACATCCATCCACAGGGCAAAGGCTGCCCATAATGTAGCATACACCAACCTGAGACACCAAAAATCATGGGGGTGCCAGTAGAAGGTTGGCTATCATCTTCTTAAACTGCTGTTGATGAAGATTACCCAGCCCAGGATCAGCCACCATTAGAGGCCCACATCAGCCTCACAATACCCACAGCACCTGACACACTAGCCATGGGGACCAATATCCTGAAAGGTTCCTAATAGTGCAGGTTTGGGGACATGAGAAAATGCTGAAGGAAGGGCACAAACTGCCAGAGAAAATGTGAGTAAGCACTGAGGATCAAAGTGACAATGGTAACAACATCATCCTGTCTGTCTGAATTTGCTTAAGAAGATCTTAAATGTTCTAACACCACACACACACACACACACACACACACACAGACAACTAGGTTAGGTAATAGAGGGTGTTGTTAACCTGATTGTGGTATCCACTGCCCAATGCATTTACATATCAAATCAAGACAATGTAATGTAAATATACATGATTTATTTGTCAATTATACATCAATAAATTCAAAGACAGAAGAACATAGAGAAATTGGTAGAGGGTCCACACCATAAAATTCTATCATCAAATGAGACTTTAGGAATCCAAGAATGGACATAGAGGCTGGAGTGCTTCCACATATGCACAAAGGATCCTGTAGAGTCTCTGGTATATGGGGAATTCTCATTATATAAAGAGTAAAGGATGAATAAATAAGTACATATGAGGACCAGTATTATCATATGGATAACTGTTGGCTGCCTACCTAAATTTCTATGGACATCTCTTCCACAAGAAGGTCTTTCCAGGTGTCTGTGAAATGCTGGATAAAAATGCAAGCCCATGTCTATGGAGAATGCTTGATTCAAAAGTATATTTTCTTCATCTGACAAACTGACTTCTGTTTACCACTGCAAAGAACGTCATTCCAGCCCCAACCAGTATCTCAATGATTTATTATAACACATTGTTCATTGTCACTGCTGGGGTCACCTGGGTGCCAGAACCTGGAAGGGAGGAAAGAGCATCAGGGTGTTTCCCACAGTGATGCTGGGAAAGAGAAAACAAGAGTAAGCAAGATGAGGATGTGGTGGGAATTTGTGGAAAGCAGATTCAGGTGTGTACAAACCAACCGTTCTCCACCACCCATGTCTGACATGTCCCTGAAAACAGGGTCCACTGCACTCAATATTCTCTTAACTTGTTACCTAACTGTTCTCCCAGAACACATCAGAGAGGATAATTCATCCCTAGATCTTGGTATCCAGGACTATCATTCCATGTGCTTATTTATTGCTGAAAAGGTCTCTCCATATTCTCGTGTCTTAATAATTTTTTTTCCATTTTACAACTCTTATTTTAGAAACTGAAAAATTATTTAAAATATCTAGATAATCTATGTATTTCTATCATCTAGGACAAGAAATCTTCAATTCCTACTTTTCTTCTCTGAAGACTGAGAATGAGAATAACATTACTACCTATATCTCACAACAGAAATCAGGATAGAATATGGGAACATACTAAGATATTAGAGTTTTTAAATAATTATATAAATATAACACATAACAATATCAGAATGTGGG